AAGAGTGGAAAGAAGAAAAATGTTAATTGGTTTCATTTAAATCTGACTGTCAATCCGATACACAGCTATGGAGATTTGACGATTTTTCTTCCGTGTTCGTCTGTTCTGCTTGGTGAAATTTAAGACTTACATAATCCCCCAGAGAGCAATGCAGTTTGCAAAGCAAATAATGAAGCATTAGTACCATACCCAAGAATCAATTTTCCCGAGAACAAGTTCTTTTGGCATTAAAATGTTTATTTTTTTTGGAGTGGATTCTGCATCCTGAATAATGTTAAAATCATGTCATGATTCAAGATTGTAATCACAAGTTGCAGTGTCACTGCAATGTACACTGTATGCCTTACCTAAAGTGTCCTGGATCTCAGTTCCAGAAGGGATTTAATCATTACCCCAACACACCCCCTCTCCAACAACAAAGGGATTTAAGCAATTGCTTAGCTAAACAGAGGAATCATAGCACATGTGTCTATGCTGTGCTGGCTTAGACATCTAGAGTCTAAAGCCAGGATAAAAACACTGCAAAAGGAGAAGAGAGAGAGACCCTGCGGGGAGGAACACTGTAAGTCAAAGGCCTTGTAAAGACCAAGAAAGCAAGGACTAAAACGTGCTGGATTCATCAGAAACCTGGAAGTTGCAAAAATCACTTAACTGAGAGGTGAAGTCAGCTTTGCCAGCAGCTGAGCAGCAGCCTGCAACAGCCGAAACACAGCGGTGACTGAGTCAACGAAGCTATGGCCCCGTGAGTGACACCCTACGGAGGAGCCCCTGCCTGCAGCACCAGCTCTGCCTGTCCGCCTGGCAGCTCAGGCCAGCGCTTCACCCCCAGGCTCTGCCACACCATTCAGCACCATCCTCTTCCTCCAGACCCACTCTGGAAAAGGCAGGCATGGAGCCAGGGGGTGCTGCAGCCTTTCCAGCGTTTGGGAGCCAGGGCACAGCAGGCGATGGAAAGCCAGTGCAATTTGTATGGCTGTCGCCGTAGCAGTGGTAAGGAGGTAACGGGAAGCAGAAGTAGGCACCAAAGCTGTGGCTACTTCTGCCCCAGAGAGGCTGTGCCGCGCTGCACCAGCATCAGCTTACAGTTGGTTGGTGAAGGGCTTTTCAAACCACGTGCAGCCTGGCCATCAAATTCAGGGCTTGCAGCGCACAGGCTGCTAACACGCAGATAGGAAAGCAAAGACTGAGAAGAGTTGCAGGAATCCAGCTGAGCCATCATGATGAAAAGTTGTTCTTTGGGCCCAGTACCAACCCCAGCTGCAGGGATGGGAGCTGGCACTGCCAGAAAGCCAACAATAAAAAAGGTGGACAGAACAGTAGTAGAGACAAAACCAGGTTAAACATCAGTCCTGAACTGACTGTTCTCATCTTGCTCCTTCCTTCCTCTACAGCAGACTGCCCAGGCTCAGCTCTTGGTTTTAGCCAAACTAAAAAGCACAGGTCTGGCCCCACCTAGAACCACAGAAATGGAACAATTTTACACAGGGGTGACAGTAAATACTGGAACCCAGCCTTTGCTGTGGTAGGCACTCTCCACCATGTGCCTTATAATAAATAAATAAACCTCCCATTCCTTAAGAAGCTTAAGCTCTGAAAAATCATTACCTGGAGCATTACATACAAAGAGCTGCATGCTGCATCACCACCTCCCTGCTCCTTCCCTCTGCTCCTTCCCAGCTCGTAATTCCCATGGAAAATTCATAAAAGCTAATATAGCATCTCTTCATGCTGCTCTCAGGATTCACTAAGTTTTAAGCAATGATTTGCATGGCACCCCACTACCCATTTCCCTTCAGTCACGTAACAATCAAGGAATAAATGGCATTGCAATAACAAGCACTAATTTTAAGACACAGAAGAATAATGTGCTCTCTACAGAAAACTAAGATTCTGCAGTGCTGCCACTTAATTGACTCATGGCATTATGAGCAATTACAACTCAGAATTTGGAGCAATTTTAATAGTTCTTGCTACTTAATAGCTCTTGCTATCAAAAATAAAAAATTCCTGAACTCTGCCTTTAGCACCATCACCAGTCTGTCGCATGATTTACAGACCCTGATGCACTGAGCTCACGTCCTGTTCTGGGCTTCTACCCACTACTATCATACAAACAAACAACAGCACATGTAAGATGGTTCTTCTGATGATTAAACACCAGCATTGAAAAAGCTTTTTCTGGCCACACCTCGACCCTGCTGACATAGCATCTTCCCCCTCCAGCAGTTCCAGCCATTCTACGCTAATGGCAGGGAGCTGAACTCAGGCACAGTAATTAGTAGACACTTGCTCAGCAAACAAGGAAAATGAGATCCCATGCTCATCTACGAAAGCAGGATCCCATTTCCAGAAGTGCTCATACCAGTCATAGTGTTATCCTGTCAGTTATTAATCCTATAACATCTGCCAGGTCAGGAACAAGGATTTCTCCCATTTTTTGTTTTCACTTATGCTTCTCCCCACCACCAGGGTCAGTTACTCTGGGAACAAAACTTCTGGATTAGTGTGTCAGAAGCAATAAACTCTCTGCTAATTGATGTCCTTGTAGGCTTTGACCCAACTAGTGGAGTTTAGCAGCATCTGCCACTGTTTATTAAGTCACCGAGATGAAGGATGTTTTCAGCTTAATATGCCTGCCGCAGTCTAAACTTCTGTACAGCAAAACAAGCAGCTCTACACACATCTCTTGCTGTCTCCACATGCATCATCTTGCCTCCTGCCCTCTCAGTGCTGGCGTGAGTGGAGGCAGAGATGTCATTTTCTTGAGCATTTAGCCAGGGGTACCCACAAGCTGGAGGATAAGTGAACACTCTGCTACCCTCCCAGTTACCACACCATCAGCACAGCAGCATATTTTTAGACGTGTTTCAAATGAATCTTGTCTCAGCCTTGAAAGCATTGAATTAACAGAGAATTTCGTATGTGAGTGACATTTCAGTGACATTAGCACCTGAGGCTTTTTGCTGTTCTCCAGTGTAAGCGATGGCACAGTTAAATCTGTATTCAAGGGTCAGTTGCTGATAGACCTGGGTACCGAAAGCAGCCGCCCTGTCGGAACTGTGGGCATCCAGCACCTCGTCCATTTTTTATTACAGGAAATGCATGCGTAAATGCTGCTGTGCAGAAGTGATGCCTCCATTAAGACATGACAGCCCAATTTCCATATATGCCGAACGCTGGAAGTATCTGTCAACGCAATCTGAATTTGGAAATGTCACCTTTGAAAAAAGCACATAAACCCACTAATTTTCCAGGTCATCATTTTTGTCCTCAAAATACCAGGATTCCATTGGTACCATTTGGACAACTTGTCCAAGTTAGGGACTGATGCCTTGTTCTCATTTTACGGGGAACCTCAAATGCATCCTTTTTAGCTAAAATGAGCTAGGTTATCGCATTATTATTGAGAGGTGGAGTAGTTGAATACACAGTTCTCTTGCCACAGAGTGCTCTGTATTTTTCTGTGTCTGAGAGTGAGAAAGAGAGAGCAAGCGGGAGAGGAACCACGTCTGGAATTTCAGTCATATCGTACTCCTGTCAGGACACAAACCCATCTGAAAATAAAAATCAAGGAAAAAATGCATTCTTTCTACCCTGTGTTTTGACCTTTACATTCATGTTGACCATCACTGCTAGGTTAAACAACTTTAGAAAGAAAGCAGTTTCGAAACCAGTTTGGTGTGAGATTAATTCCTTATCTGAGAGGGAATGGCCTGTGCCAGGCAAACTGTTTTCTAACTGGCAACTGAAATGAAAAACCTACCTGAGAAGTGCTAATGTACTTCAGGAACCTCAAGGCCTCATAACTGAGGGAAGGAGTTGGACTTGCCCATGGCTGTAGTTCAATGTGCCATCTTACAGTCTGCAAAGAAAAGCAAAACAAAAAACACCTTAAAGGAACAGGATTAATTTCTCAGAACAAGCATAAAATGCAAGGGCTAATAAATTAAGGAGATCTAATTTCAAACAAAAAGAGTTTCCTAGGGGCTTACCTACACATGAAAGTCATTTCAGAATAAAGTAGGATTTGAACTACGGTGAAAGAACATCTAACTATGATTTATCATTATCAGCTTTGCAAGCAGATGTAGGTAATTCAGCAAGAAAGGGCTCTTCATTCAGGATACATGTGTCAACGCAGTTATTCTAGGACACCCAAGTAAGCCCTGGCTTGTAGAAACACATGAAGAAAACCAAGATCTGAATAACTAAATCCTCTAGCAAAACATCTGAAAACAGTGACATAATTTTAACTTTATATCTATCGCCTATCTCTGCTTGAATGTCCACTGAAACAAGAACTTGAATTGCAAACACTAATCACTAAAGGAAACCTCTGCAAACAATCTCTTTCCTTTTTTAAAATCTAGATTCAATAGAAAAGCAAGCTTCTTGCGGTCTTTCAGAAAAAGTCCTCTTCCTCTCCCATGCCTGCCTGACAAGATACACTAGAATTCTTTGTTTTCCTGAAAAAAACATCAGTGTGGCTGTCCGTAGCCCTACCACTCCCCATTTTCATAGCCCCCGGGAAGCAGCTTTGGTGGATGCTTTCCGCACTCCCTGTGAGGCCCCTCAGCTCTGAACCTCAGGGATCCTGTCAGCCTTTCCAGCAACACTTCCCACATAGACAGAGTGGGACAGAAGAGGTCTTTCAGACACGTGCTTGCAGAGCAACGGGGCTCTGCGCTCCCGTCTGTGCCACCTTCTCCAAATTCTGCCTGCTTTTGTCACACTGGGAAGTTTAGATGTGTTATCCCTTCCCTCAAGTAGATAAAAATACAAGCACGGTGTTAAGTTGTACTAAATTAAGATTGATTCCTCATGGCTTTTCATCTTCAGGTGCCATAGCTCACTTCGATGGCTGGGCAGGTAGTATCAAGCTCCCCTTTAATCATCCCCAATTAACTGAGCTTCCATAATGAACAGGATGGGGTTTTTTTTTCCCATAGGTTCATGTTGACATCCCATAAAATACCAAACAAACAGAAACCCCATTTGGGATTCCCACAGGACCTTAGTTTCAAACAAAGCCCTGGGAAACATATAGGAAAGAGCAATTAACCGGAAAGGGTGGAGGCAGATCAGAGAGGTAAGATGCTGAGCCCTGCCAGGGACGACAGCCCCACCATCGGGCTGGTCTGCGGCCCCAGGAGAAGAGCCAGCGCGGTGACAGCGGGGATCCTCTAACGCCAGAGAGGAACGCAGGAAAGAAAAAGAGAAGGCAATGCTAGAGAAGAAAGATGATTAAAGGGGAACCACCAGACCAGATGGAGTTGCCTTGAGCTGATATCATGAACTGGTATTTTTGCAGCCTAAGTAAACATAGTCTTGGAGTGAACATGAGCCAGGAGGTCTGTATGAGATTTACTGTTCCTTTAGGGTTTGCTCTTTGGGGTCTTTTTACTGTAAAGAGATGCCGAAAAAGGACATTTGAGATATTTTTTTTTTCCCCAGAAGCAGACAAAAGTAGCATTTCCTACCCTGCAACTTGCTGCCCGCAGCAGACGTTGGCTCCTATACCCTGCACAGCACAAGGCTGGAAGCAAGCTAGCAAGCAAGCTCTGCAGCAGCACGTACCCCTGACCCGCTGATTGCAGAAGGCAGCCTGCAAACAGCTAACAGCAGGAGGATAGGTGCACGCCGGGGAGGGAAATGCCTGTGATCTTTCAGAATGAGTCACAGTTCACACGGCTGAATAACGTTTGCAATGACAGGAATGCTGTCGTTTCAACAGGCTTGAAAGCTGAAAGGAAAATGAAGACTGACAATCATTTTCAGGCAAAAAAAAAAAAAACAACCCAGACACCTAAACATCTGTGCCGAATTATTCTGAAATCTATTTGTGCGAGAAGTAGCTCATTAAGTAGGGGAATTGCAGGGTGGCCATTGTGGCACCATTCAGCAAGAATTCCCTCTGCACAGAGTTGATGGGGAAGAAAAAGAAAAAAAAAAAATCCCTGTAATTAACCACGTGAATGAGGTTCTTTTTCAGCAGAGTGCAGCATCAAAGAGCCACTGTGGCTTTCTCTCAGGTTCTTAAAATCTTACAGATGGCTAACTGCCTTTCCACTGTCTCCAAAATGTATCAATAAACACACGACTGTGAAGATATAAACCCCAGTAACTTAACAATGCAGTTTCACTTAAAAAAAAAAAAAAAGTAAAAAAAAAAGAGAGATCAACCTTTTATATAGTTCTTTAAATTTAGGAGTGCTACACAAATGCTACTTCTGTGGCAGAGATCAGACCTGAGCTCCTCTTTGACAGCAATGCTTTTGAATAGCTTCTCAAACTTCACGCTTGGTCCCTGGCTCCTTACTAAGCAGCAGCCCATTTCCATTCACAAACGAATACATTAGAAAGGTCTGTTCCTAACACCTACTAAACAGCCCTATGGGACACTTCAATAGCTGCATTACAATAATAGGGGTGAAAATCCAGTACATCTCTTGGACCAGGTACACCCTCCCAGCGGCTAACTCACTGATGTCAGTGATCCAGTATGGGTATGTTCAGGACTCACAAAATAACCTCCTGAAGGAGCCATTCCCTGCGTACATCGGTAGCCTTTGTTTATAGTTTTTCAGGTGATTTTCAGCCTGTTCCATAGTGTTTCCATGTAAGCCTTCTCAAATAAACTCTGCAGATAAAATGCACCTCGTCCCTGTGAACCAACTGCTTTGTGAAAATCAGGTTCATTCCTGACAAACACATGTTCCTTATTTTGAGTTTTTCCCCTCTAGACTTTGCAATTTCATTTACTCAAAGCAAACCTGACTGTGGTATCATGATTTGGATTTTCTCACTTGTATCACAGAAACCTCTAGAGTAGATAACGGAGAGCAGGTCCCTGTGGCTGCTGTACAAAACAGGCTGAGGAGCAGCTCCTTTCACAGGGGACCTCTACAGCAAGTACACAAGAGGAGCAGAGGAGGTATTACTGTCCGTATTATGCAGCTTTGGATATGAAATTCAGACAGACCTCCCCAAGGTCGCCCAGGAGGAGCCAGAAAACCGGCTTAGACATTCTGCATCTCTGGTTATTGCCATCGGTGTGCTATCTCCCTAGAGTAAGGACTCATCCAACGAGACACCATGACTCTGTTTTCCCCAACACCAATATATCCTGATTCCACAATATAAAGAGATGACAGTACCTGGAAAGTTACAATGCCACTTGAAAAATATCATACTGAATATCTTGAAGTATCCCTCTATTTACATTGTTTCACTTACAGACACGTTACCTGAAATTAGCATTGTAATTAATACCAGTCTTCAGCAAGACTTTATCACAAGCACTGGTCAGACACTGACTTCAGCTACCCTAGAACGCTAATGGATATCCAGAAACTGTTATCCAGAGTGATGTCTAAATTTTAGCCACATGAGATAACCACAGAGCAAAAAAAATCTTAAGGCAATGTCATTGTTTTGTTAGGAATACTAGGACACATTTGAAGGTCTGATTTTTTTTCCACGTACTTCACACTTAAGGGTAAGGACTGATGTTTCCTTCAGACCAATCTGACAGTAATCCACAGTGACTTTTCTCTGGAGACCACTTCTGTCATGGTTTAACCTCAGACGGTAACTGAGCACCACACAGCTGCTCGCTCACTCCCCTCCACCCCCCAGTGGGATGGGGGAGAGAATTGGAAGAGTAAAAGTGAGAAAAACTCGTGGGTTGAGATAAAAGCAGTTTAATAATTGAAATGAAATAAAATAGTAATAATAATAATAATAACAACAATAATAAAAGAATATACAAAGCAAGTGATGCACAATGCAATTGCTCACCACCCACCGACCGATGCCTAGCCAGTCCCCGAGCAGCGGCCCCCCCCCCCCCCCTACTGAGCATGACGTCACATGGTGTAGAATGTCCCTTTGGCCAGTTTGGGTCAGCTCTCCTGGCTGTGCCCCCTCCCAGCTTCTTGTGCACCCCCAGCCTTCCCAGTCAGTAGAGCATGGGAAGCTGAAAAGTCCTTGACTAGTGTAAGCACTGCTCAGCAACAACTAAAATCGGTGTGTTATCAACATTATCCTCATGCTAAATCCAAAACACAGCACTGTACCAGCTACTAGGAAGAAAATTAACTCTATCCCAGCCAAAACCAGGACAACTTCTTTCTAGATTTTTTTCCCTCATCAGCCATCTATGATAGTCATCTGATAATTCCTTAATAATCTGTAGTATACATATAGTATCATTTGTCCTAAAAATCTGAAATCATAATATTAAGTTTAAATAAACATGTGCAAAGGGCTCACATACCAGCAGGGATAAAATTGTAGGTTTGCAAAATTTCTGGCTTTCCCAGCATAAACTTGAACACATAAATCATTAAATTCTTTCCAGATCAATCCTAGTTTCTGTGCAGTAATTCAAACAGCCCAATTCCTCCATTCCCTTCTGCTTACATTTGAAAGGGAATTAGTAAGTTTTCTATACTTCCATCTTTTTTAACTCAGTGACTGTTTTTTCCCTCCTTTCAATCTCCTTCCTTTTTAGCAGCCTATTAAAATACAGAAACATATTAGCCATGTTTATAAACAAAAATTTGAGAATCCCATTGCCCTGCCAAGCAGTCTGTTGCTTCCAACGAAGAAACAAAAGACTTGTCAATACATACACAGATGTCTTAATCAAGGGAAAAATATAAAATCCTCTGATTAAACTGTGCAACGATAATTTTTTACATTTGAGGCAGGACTAAATGTGAGTGGAAAGCACTTGTGGCAATAAACTCCATCAATAACCATAAATATTTGCTAGCCATAGAAACAAATGACATACACATCTTTACCTCCAACTGTTCTGGCTGTACTCTGCGTATCACCAC